GGGGGTGTAGAGGCAGTTTTGCTTTTTGGTACAACGCCAGATTACTAGGTAAAGAGTTAGTAAATCGATTATTTTGTGTCATTGGCTCTAAAATGAATTGCTCTTACTGTGTATACAATGTTTCTTTCATTACTATATTCTTAGTATATACCTGGTGGATCCTATTCTCTCTACATCTCTTTTCACAGCGTCAACACTATCCCGACCAATCCACCAATTTTAGCGCTTCCTCTCACAGTGAATGCTCCAGGTTCGCGCTGGAATAATCCATGCTCTGCCCCGAGGGTTCTATTGGATAACACATCCCATGCATCCATAAGCCATGCTCTGCCCCGAGGGTTCTATTGGATAACACATCCCAGGCATCCCTTTAGACCTGCATTCACCCCGGGTGGTTCAGACTTTAGCTGTGTGATCTGCTGAGCAGTTGCTTGATTACAAATCAAGCAAAGTCTGCAGCACCCAGAAGCCAGCAGGAAGGCGTATGCGGGGGATGTGTTCTATCATACAATGTTCGGCCTTAGAGCTTCGTCACACGTTGAACTAACTATCAGACAGTGGGGTGCAGAGATGAATGGGCTACATCACATGACTGCGGGATAAAAAGATAAAAAACATAACTGAGCTTAGTGAAATGATGCGATTTAAGGGTCAGCTTTGTTGGGCTTATTTAATGCTCACATGCACCAAGTATGTCCGATGGGTTTACATGCCCTTTAACCCCTTCGTGACGGGAGACGTACACTGTACGTCCAGCCACAAAGGGACCAAATGACTTGTCACGTACACTGTACGTGACGAGTTATTTGCTGCTTTAGAGGGCTGTTAATCGCTGAGAATCAGCTTTTAACATTCATTAATGTATGCCCTTACTACAGAGGCATTCATTAATGAAAGGGTTAACCTTTTTCAGACACCCGATACCTTAATATCGGGTGTCTGAGAGTCAAAGCAAAGCGGACACAGATGCCGGCTTTTGCCGGCATTCTGACAGCTCGTATAGATCGAGAGATATCTCTCTCAAGCTATACTGGCTTTTTTTTTTTTCTTTCATGAATAGATACAAAATGTGTCTATTCCTACAATGTATCTATTCCTGGAAGAAGAATGTTTGTTTGCTGATCGTTGTTGCAACAATCAGAAAACATTTAGTAACAGCTGAATCCTGAACTGCTGCAGGATCAGTGTCACTAACTTATTATCGGCTGTTCTGAAGTTTGAAGCAGCCTGATAATAACCAAAAATTTATTAATTTATCATGCAGTAACAGTGAGATTAATTCACAAAATCTGCTTGATATAATTAAATAAATAAAATAACATTTTTAAGTTAAAAAAAAAAGTGAAAAGTGTAAAAAAAAAAAAAAATTGTGAAAAGTGTAAAAAAAATAAAAAAATGTGTAAAAAATAAAATAAAATAAGGGACAAATAAATGAATGTATTTATTGCATTTTTTTAGCTGTGCTGGTTTTGTAAAAAAAATACTACAAATCAAAACTGGGAAAAAAGTGTTTTTTTTAAACGTTTTTTTCCTCTTTTTTTATATTTTATTTGTCCTAAGTGAGGCGTTAGACGCACATATGTGATATAAATATGTAGCCCTATCTGTCCTCTAAAAAACAATATATAATATGTGTGGGTGCACTTTGTAAGAAAGTATATTACTGACGTGGAAGAATCACACAGCAAAAATGTCAAAAGTGTGTCAGTCATTTACGAACAGAAACTAAAAACAAGCTCAGTCATGAAGGGGTTAATAAAACTAAGGGCCTGAATGCTGCACAAGATCTTCCCAACCTCTTACAGGTCTCTGACACGTGACCATAGAATACTTTAGGGGACTTCAGTCAAGACTGTTTATGAAATGCGGAAGAAGCAGCAGAATTAACCAAGCAGACATGACCCCATGGTGGCAACGACAGAACAGCTACCCCCAGGACAGGGGCGAGAGGGTTAGATACCAGACAGAGCGGCTCATTTCTGAAATGGAGCGAAAGTGTCACCTGCAGAAAACAACATCATGAAGAACGACAGAACTTTACTTGGATCCTGTAGTAACTAGGGATACAACGATACTGGTATTTCGGTATCGAGTACCGATATTTTTTTTTTTCCCGTACTCGCCGATACCGAATACCGGAAGTCCCATTCAGGAAGCCAGGCGGCGTGTAATTACTCGCCATCTGGCTTTCTGATTAGCAGGGAAGCCGCCCCCATGCTTCTCGTCATTAGGCGACGAGAAAGCATGGAGCCGACTTTCTAGCCAATCAGGAAGCCGGGCGCCGTGAAATGACACGCTGCCCGGCTTCCTGATTGGCCGGGAAGCCGGCTCCATGCTACCTCGTCACATACCGGAAGTATCGGGCTAGGCATTGAAGCATTTGAGGCGAGTACTAGCCCAAATACTCGGCATCGGCACTGATACCAGTATCGGTGCATCCCTAGTAGTAACTTTTCAACTTCCACTCCGATGTTCAGAAATGAGCCCCGGCAATCACAATCACAACGGAGGACACAAAGGACAGAGACGGGACGAGAACGGAGCCCAGATACTGAATACAATGTTACCTTCTCTGAGAAACTGTCTTCTCCCTACGAGCAGAGGTGAAAGCAGAGGGAGGAAGAGAGGAGAAAAAGACTGGTGAGAAGAGAAGTTTAAGATGAAGAGTCGAGATAGTTCAATAATGGACCATGGAGCAAATACGAAACACTGTACTTGGAGGAGGAAGAGGAGTTTAAAATGTGACATGGAAATCTGCTCATTGCCAATAAGTGGTGAAGGAAAGCAGCGCGGCTTTGTCAGGTGAGCGGTGATAAAGTTCATGTGCAGTGGAGAGACGTGCGCCAAACTAAGAGCCAGCTACACTAAGGCCTTGTTCACACCAAGCGCGGAGCAGGTGCAGAGCAGAGCAGGTGCAGACCGGATCAAAACTGCGTCCAATGTATTCCTATGGTATTTTTAGCTCCAGTTCACATCGCAGCGTGCAGATTCAGTGCAGGTAAAAAAACTGCAGCAGGCCCTATTTTACCTGCTCTGGATCTGCAAACGCATCAAAAACGCATGCAAATGCCTGGAACGCACTGAAAGCCCATGTTAAACTAAAAAAAAAAAAAAATGTTTTTGACAAAAACGCGTCAAACATGCATCTAAAAGACTAGCGTGTGCAGAAACCTGACCGGATCTGCTCTGCATTTGGTGTGAACAAGGCCTAAAGCCTCATTCACACAACGTAGAGTCGGGCCGTGCGACGTGCATGGCCGTTCCTGGGAGGGACAGGTGCTGCGTGTGATTGCACGCAGCAGCCTGTCCTTCCCTATGGGTAGACGCAGCCATATGCATACCCGAGCTGCACATCTGTCTGCACGGACACCCGGATGTGCAGTTCGGGTGTGCGTATGACAGCGTACGGCCGCGTCCTCCCATAGGGAAGAACAGGTTGCTGCGTCCAATCACACGCAGCACTTCTCCTTCCCGGGAGCGGTCCGATACTGCTGTGCACGTCGCACGGATCTGTACAGGCCGACTCTACGCTGTTTGAATGAGGCCTTAATGGCCAAACGTCTGTGAAGGTTCTCATTCCTCCAGGTCACGGCATATCTGTAAAAAATAAATCAAGGTAACAGGACTTGCTGTGCTTTTCTCAAAGACGTTTCGCTGGTCATCTGACCAGCTTTCTCAATTCTGAATGACCTCTGGGAATAAATATGGTGAATGTTGCTCCAATCAACATAATGTGTTTATCATACCCAGCATGGGTCATCAGAGACTTCATGGAGGTAAGGTGTTGAATGCATTTGCACGATTGGAGCTAGCAGGTGTTATTAAGCTGCCCAGAGAGAGGTGTTATTTGTATGTGGCAGACAATTTTACACAAATGGCCTCTTTTGAACCAGGCTTCCTCTCTTTCCAGGATGCATGCTTGACTGTCTTCAAAGGAGTGACCTTTTTTTTTTTTTAAGATGTAGGTACAGAGCTGAATCCTGACCAGAGGGTTTGGCTCTTGAGGCCATTTATGTTAAAATGTGGAAATGGAGCCGATATATTAAAAAGGAGAACTATGGGGTTAAGTCTTTTCCCCATAGTTCTCCTTAGGGTAACGGGAGGACACAAACTAGCGTCCTCCCATCACCCTAGGCTCAGTGTATAGAGAGCTGCTGCTCACTATATACTGAGACGCCGCAATGGAAGCGTATCCCGACAATTATGCCGGGATCCGCCCAGCTGCGTGAGTGACAGCTGGCTCTGCCTATCTAGAGGCAGAGCCAGCTGTACCCGCCCCCTCCCCCGTCCGTTCCGCCAGTCAGCGCTGGCGGATCGGAGCGGGGAGGGGGGAATCCAGCCCCTCCCCTGTCACGGCTCTCTGATCGAGAGGTGAGCGAACGCCGGTATGTGTTCGCTCACCTCCCGATCTACTGAGCCGACCTGCGACAGTCTCATTGTCACAGGTCGGCTAGAACTATAGATCAGGTCTATAGATAGATTAGGCATTCGGGAGGCATTTTCAAGGCATCCAAAAAGGCTTGCAAAATGCCCAGCAAGTAGGAGAGTGTTATAGGGGAAGAGATGTCATAAAAGGGAAGTGACCAGCTTTGAGGTGTGCTTAGGCTGTGGTGAAATATACCGGCATATTATTGGTCTTCTGTACTGTGTATTGCTGGCTATGACTCGCTCTGCCTGGTACTTGCAATGCCTGGCAATGGGTATGGCTGGCACTGCTTTGGATGACACTGATAACAGCTGGCACTACAGGGGGGCATAGGTCAGGCTGTCACAGGTTACAAGTACACGGCTAGCTGCTGTTCTTTCGATGGCAAAACACGGGCTGTGTGCAGACAGGAAGTGTCATCTGCACCGGCTCTGTGCAATCTCTGATTCTCCGTGGTTTTTGGGCTTGCAAAACCTCCTATATCTCTCCTGAACACATGTGCAATGCTTCTTGAATGCCCCAAAAAATACTATTAGGAGCACTGACCGAGTCTTTAAGGGGCATTTCTATATACTTCAATGATGGCATTTGTCCACTGGCAATGCCTCCAGAACGTGACATGCACACACAGCAACACAACGCTATGCCCATGTGTGAACTGCGCGGAGTGGCTGCTAATGCATTATCCGACATAAGCCCGAATGGCTCTTTCACATGTGTGTAATAAACCCGGCATTTGAGAAGCGTTTCTTACGACTCTCTGCTGTCTAATAATGCCCATGTGGGATAAAACAATAGCAACCGCCCAGTACAGTTCACACGTGGCTGATAGCGTTGTGTCAAAAAATAGAGTGCATGTTGCGTTCATGACAGACAGGAAGTGTCATCTGCAGCTGCCCTGTCCACCTACTCTGATTCCCCATAGGTTTTTGGGCTTGCAAAACCTCCTATACCTCTCCTGAACACCTGTGCAACACTTCTTAAATGCCTAAAAGATACTCTAGGGAGCACTGACCGAGCGTTTAGAGGGCGTTTCAATATTCTTCAATGGAGGCATTATTCCACGCTCGGTCAATGCTCTCTAGAGCCTTGGTTCTCAACTGGTGGGTTGTGACCCAAAAGTGGGTCGCGACCCCATGTTCAGTGGGTCACCGCATGTCTTCCACTTTTCTAGTTTTGGAGGCTCCTTAGCCTCCCCATAGTGCAGCACCGTCCATTCTTGCACCGAGCAGCCATTCAAAATATGCTGCCCGGCGCTGAGTGTTGACTTGTCGAGGTGGGCTGGGGGTATGGCTGCGAGGGAGTTCCGCTCATACGTGCATTGCTTACAGCTCCCTCGCATGTCCTGTAGAGGTGCCTGGACTAGAGCGACACCACATTCTGGCTCCCGGAAACCTCTACAGGGCGCGCATAGGAGCTGTACAAGCAATGCACATATGGATGGAGCTCCATCACAGCACAGCATCCCACGCTGCCGTGCGTTCCATTGCAGTGCGATTTGGGTCACGACTTAATGATCGAGGACAAATGTGGGTCCTGAGGTTACACAGGTTGAGAACCACTAATCTAGAGCATCTTTTAGGCATTTAAGAAGCGTTGCACAGGTGTTCAGGAGAGGTATAGGAGGTTTTGCAAGCCCGAAAGCCACTGGGGAATCATAGGGTGGACAGAGCAGCTGCACATGACACTTCCTGTCTGCACACAGCCAGTGTTTTGTGAATGTCACAGCTAGGGTTTTCCCAACAAAAGAGCCGGAGGTTTCCCAAAATTGTAGCCTGAAATATGTCAGAAATAACTTCGGCTGATTCCGGCAGTAGAGCAACACCCGGAATTGTATGAGCCAAGTCTGCGCAGCTACTGCGACTCCTGCCGGTCACTTCCCTTTATTACATCACTTCCCCTTTAACACTCCCCTACTTGCAGGGCATTCTGCACGCGTTTTTGGCACCTCCCGAATGCCTTGTTACACTATAGGTGTGTTAATCGCCGTTGCTGCGAGACAGAAAACACTGCAAACGAAGTCAAACCCCACGCGTGCGGCATGGACGGCAAAGGCAGATTTTATGGTTCTCAATTTAATAAATCTAGGATAGGACAGCAAGAAAAGGTTTCACCACAAGCGTCTACCAGGAGGCACACCGTTCTCACCAGGTCAATGAGTTTGGTAACTGGGATCTCCCGGATGGCCCTCTTCATTCGGCACAAGGCCTCCAGAGACGTGCCGAATGAGCTGACCAGGTAGTTCCCGGTGATGGTCAGGAAGTAATCTTTGCCGCGGTCAAGGTGAAGAACCAGGATGTCCTCGATGGCGTCCTGACCCGAGTTCAGCAGCGTGACGGAGTCTTTGCTGACGTAAACTTCCAGACTGATCTCGACCGACTCGTCTGAGGACAGGAAATGATTGTGAAATAAAAGCAAGGAATGCCAGAAGTCTATAAATAGTAACAGTTCACATATAGAAAGATAAAGGGCGGCGCCGAGTGGCTAATTGAATGCAGTTCAGCAGCTTGGCGTGTTGGTTAATAGCAACTCCTGCCAAAAAGTTAAAGTGACTCATGACCCAAGAACAAAAATGTAATAAGTAGCAGCTCACTGGTATTTAGGTGTAGCGGCTGCATTCGTTTTCCTTCAGGCTTTTTCTTTCTCTTGGTGATCCTGCCAGTAACACACTTCCTGACCTAGGCTGACAACGATCACTCACTGTGCTATATCTATGGTGGAGCAGAGTTGTCACCCTAGGACAAGAAGTATATTTGGGTTACAGAACAGCTCCCTCTCTATATAACATAGGTGGGAGGTGTTGTGTAGTCGACACAGAGCTGGTGACAGTAAGCGGAGCCAGGGAGCACAGAAGGTTATCAGCTCACAAGATTTCTGGACAGTGATCAGAAAGATAAAACATAATTCTTTCAATGGTATGTAGTATTTAACCGATGGAAAGGGTAGCACAAGAAGCACTTCTCATTGGTCAGCGCAGTTAGTGCCTTAAGTATAGGGATGCACCGATACTAGTATTTGGGTGAGTACTCGTACTCGCCCAAATGCTCCGATACCAGAACTTACTGTTAAAGGTAGATCTCCCTTTGACCGGCAATTCCGAGGAAGCATGGAGCCGGCTTACTGTCCAATCAGGAAGCCGGGTGGTGGGTTACTTGTTGCCAGGCAGCCTGATTGGTCAGGAAGCCAGGCATTCTCGGCATGTGAAGCCGGTGATCTTTCGATAGAACACTGGCTTACCAGGAAATCAGGAAGCCAGCCAATGGGTCATGATCCGTTGTCCAACTTCCTGGTAATCGGGGCACCGGTATCGGCGAGTACCAAAATATATACACATATACACATACAGATGATGTATAAAAAAACAAAACTGAGTATTGCAGTGTGCAATGATTCTTATTGGACTAACAAAATATATAAAAGACAAGCTTTCGAGAGTTAACCTCTCTTCTTCAGGTCAGAAGCAATACTGATCAACATGACAACATTTACCACTTAAAGCAAGAGAAAGTTGTTAGGGAGGGGGGGTGAGTGGGGTGTCATAAATGTTGGACCTGGGAGTAAAGAATGTATCCTGATAACTAGAACACAGAACAAATAAACAGATTTGTTCTGTTTGGTCCCCATCACCGGGAACTACCTGGTCAGCTCATTCGGCACGTCTCTGGAGGCCTTGTGCCGAATGAAGAGGCCCATCCGGGAGATCCCAGATTTGTTCTGTGTTCTAGTTATCAGGATACATTCTTTACTCCCAGGTCCAACATTTATGACACCCCACTCACCCCCCCTCCCTAACAACTTTCTCTTGCTTTTAAGTGGTAAATGTTGTCATGTTGATCAGTATTGCTTCTAACCTGAAGAAGAGAGGATAACTCTTGTCTTTTATATATTTTGTTAGTCCAATAAGAAAGGTATGATTGCACACTGCAATACTGCGTTTTGTTTTTTTATACATCTTCTCTACTGGACTAATACGGCTTACCCATTTACATTATTTACATTTATATATATATTCGTACCTGATACAGAAAAAACAGTATCGGTGCATCACTACTTAAGTACGAACAAAAATTTAACTTATTTGTGTATCACTCGGCTGTAGATCCTCCAAGCTCGCTCCCGGGATGGACTACAATCTCAATACAAATCAGTAAACTAAACGTGAGATTGTAGTCCATCACAGGAGTGATCTTAGAGAGGTGACTCCTTTACAACACACCCAGGGACCATGGGGAACACAAGTAGTCACCCTCCAGAAGGAAGGACAGTGTCAGCACCTATTCAGAGATGATTGGAGGATCTACAGCCGAGTGATACACAAATAAAATGTCACCAGCACACCAATCCTTTAGCTAAAGCCTGATGAAGGGACCCTGCGCGGTCCCGAAAGTGCTTGTTTGGTCATATGACAAAAAACTTCAATAAATGAAGCTTTTGCTATCTTAAAAGGATTGGTGTGCTGGTGACATTTCTACAATTTTGCTGACATTCGCAGCGCCATCCTCGGCCACTGCGAGCACTCCCCACTACAAGGGACATAAAGGTAAGGAGTGCGACAAGGATAGTACTTATTGATACACAAATAAGATACATTGTTGTTAATAATTAAGGCTCTTGAATGCATATTTAAGATTTAACTTCTGAGTTTAGTGTCACTTTAAAGTGCGCTTTATAGTCCTATACACCTTTTTGCAGTTAATTTGATTTATCGCCGGTCACCTTTGGCATTCCCAGGTCCATCTGGCGCGGGTAGTATAATGGGACTTGCAATCACTGTTCTATTGCTACATTGCTATATTTCACGCCAGCACAGGGGTGAAAGTCACAAGGATCGGGTAGTGGAGTGTCTTCTTGCTTTGTCTGGAACAATAAAGTTTGAAGGAGTGGCAGATACAAGTGTGTGACCTGATGGGACATATGCTTGGTGGTGGTCATGGAGCCTAAGGTTTGCACTTGCTGCTGGAGACACAGGGTTGATGGGAAGCTTAGGAGATATTTTTGGAGTTATCCACATCTATTGAAGATTTTGCTTACTTGGCATCAGTATTTTTCATAAGCGCTGAAATGTTTTAATTAAAACACAATACTTTGAGCTCATGGGGAGTCAGAAGGCCTGTAGCAGCTGCCACATGTGCCACCCCTGCAGTCATCCCCACCAATCTCATTACATCCGCTCCAAGATGAAGAATAAAATATAATTTCCAAAAGACATCAACGACTTACTTGGCTCCAGGTATCCCTCGCAGGGCTCAGCTCGCAGCCAGGGTTTACAGTACTGAGTGTCGTTCAGTTTTGGGATGAATGAGAAGTGACAGGTAACCTGCCCGTCATTCTGGATGTCAAATTTTTCGATCTGCAGCTGCCGGAACCTCACCCGCTCGAACTTGAACTGCGGAACAAATCACAGACAGTAAATGAAGAGTACAAATATAATGTACTGCAAGTGAACTGCAAATAATAATTCCAATGAAATGTATCAGGAAAATGATATCTGGATCACTAAAATGACTCGGGTCTTCCCCTGTGCTCAACAGCTACCCATCAGCTCCTGAAACATGTGAGGGGGGCAACAGTTTGCAATGTTCTGACTTTGCTGTGCATGGGATCATTAGATGTATACAGATACACTTAAGTTAAAAGACAACTATGGGGTAAGTGTTTTTCCCCATAGTTTTCTTTAGGGTCACGGGAGAACATAAACTAACCTCCTCCCGTGACCCAAAGCTCAGTATATAGCAGGTTATTGCCCGCAATATACTGTGAGCGCTGCAGCCGGAACAGATCCTGACAATCCTGTCGAGATCCGCCCAGCTGCGTGAGTGACAGCTGGCTCTGCCTATCTAGAGGCAGAGCCAGCTGTACCCGCCCCTTCCCCCTTCTGTTCCTCCACTCAGTGCTGGAGGATCGGAGAAGGGAGCAGTGACTGAGTCACCGCTCACTGCAGGGAGACGATCGGGAAGTGATCGGATCGGCGGCATGTTTCTGCTCACTTCCTGATCCATCGAGCCGAGCTGCGACAGCTTCTTTGTCACAGGTCGGCTCTAACTATGAGGATCAATGGAAATCACTCATCTCATTAGTTCTCTTTTATTTATATTTTCCAACAAGAAGAGAGAGCTTAGCAGTAGTGTTTGCTTAACCGTCTTCCTACCGCCAAACTGTAAAAGAAATAAACAGCTGGGAGGCGGGGGCGTCTACTTCAGGAGCGACATTTTAAAACGTCATTCCAGAAACAGCCATTGAGCACCTTCTAGTCTTTTTGTATTATGTAAATGGGAGAATGAAAGGATCAGCGGCAGCAGCTGATTGATTCTTAGTGACCGAGAGATCTTTCTTTAACCCTTTCACTGCCTCTCTATCCTTACCTACCGATCTCCAAACCTGCCTCTTTATTGTGATCTCTACATTACCCCTTCAGCTCCCTCATCCTGCAAATTAACCCTTTCATCTCCATCCTGCCATTGTACGTGACCTAGTACAGAACATGGATGATGTGTATTTTAGGGAGCTGGGGAGGTCCACCATACGTTGGATATTGTTGAGCCTGTGTATTCATTGTGTCATGGGTGGGGATGGGAGTTCCAAAAGAGCTGGGACGTGCAGCATTGGCCAGTGTATGGGGCTGTCAGCTCCTTTCAGCCGGCATTCCTCGATCAGCTGATCGAAGGACACGGCTGGGATATCTTCGAGCTGCCCGCTCTGATCGGGTATTCTGACAGGTGGAGGCGGCACCTGTCAGAATACAATGCAAACGGCAGTGATTCCTCGATCGACGCTCAGTTTGTGTTGGAGGAATTGCGTCAATTTCTCCCGTTCAGCCCACGGGTTGAACAAAAGAAATTGACAGGTGTATGGCCAGCTTAGGAGTGCTTACCATTTGGCTTTATACATATTTTAAATAGATACAGTTAGGACAGATACCGGAAAACTCCTTTATACTAGCTTAAGGGAGAACTATGAGGCGAGTGATTTACACTCACCCTCATAGTTAGAGCCGACCTGTGACAAAGAAGCTGTCACACGTCGGCTCTATGGATTGAGAAGTGAGCGAACACATACCGTCGCTCGCTCACTTCCCGATCTGCTCCCTGCAGAGAGCCGTGACTGTCAGTCACCGCTCCCCGCAGGGATTCCTCTCCTCCCCTCTCCGATCCTCCAGATCTGGCTGCAGGAATGGACGGGGAGGGGGCGGGCACATCTGGCTCTGACTCTAGAGAGGCAGAGCCAGCTGTCACTCACGCAGCTGGGTGGATCATGACAGTATTGTCAGGATCCGTCCCGGCAGCCGACCTCTCAGTATATAGCTGGCAATAGCCCGCTATATACTGAGCTTTGGATCACGGAAGGACGCTAGAATATGTCCTCCCGTGACCCTAAAGAGAACTATGGGATAAAAAGGTTACCCCACAGTAATCTTTGAATAAAGTAATCCGCTGTTAAACAAGACCCGGGGAGTGGCAAGGTAAGCACGGTGAGCCAATCAGACCTCACTGGCTTTTCTCAGTATAATATTGTGACCATGGTAAAGCACAAGTACAACATCATTATTATTATTACATAGTATTTATATAGCGCCAACAGTTTGCGCAGCGCTTTACAATGTAAGGAAGACATTACAATTACAATACAATTCAAGACAAGATGGTAAGGAGGGCATCATCATCACCATCCAATCGTCAGGCTGAAGGTCGGTAAGTGACAAAGCCGTGTTCCTGAATGGCAGAGGCACTAAGTGAGGTCGCTGATGTGCATGTGCTGTCTGGCAGGTCTGCCCACATCACAAGACTAGCAGTACAGAATTACAAATCAGTCAGCAAGCGTAACGCTTTCCCTGTACAGGTTTCAGTTGTGTATTCAGCTTTTTCTGCCTGAAGGTCAGATTGACAGATGACGCAATCGCACACTCACCTCTCTTCTGCTGAGGTTTAAGGAAGGAAGGAAATCATTTTCCATTCTGTCCATCATCCGCACAATGTCCTCAAACGCCTTCCGGTATCGACGCTCATCGACCACTTTCACCTGGAAAGGTACCAAACACACAGACAGAGGTCAGGAAACTATAACTAGGGAACGGATGTGCTTAGTATTATCTTTGTATGTAGATAGTGCTGATCCATTCCGCAGCACTCTACAGAGTGGAAAGGAGAAAGAACAAAAGGGAAATGCAGAGACGTGCGTGCCAAGAAAAATGAATAGCAAACTACAAAATATGACAGAGCCGACATCTGCAAAACTGACTTGTGCTTCGAATGTCGCAGAAGATATTGTACCGTCTCTGTGCGATCTCCATAAAGATGACCGTACACTCTGACTGTACAATTGTTAACCCTTCGTGTTTTAAAAGCCGATTAACATTGAGCTTAACTTTATCGAGCAAACCCCATTAGTAAACTCAAAAAGCATGCACGGCAAATACTGTTTTGTACCTTTTTTTTTTTTGGCAGCAGTCACATGACTGCTATACACCCTCTGCCTCCCCAAAGCTCCCAGATAGGGCAGTGCAAATTAACGATTAATTTCTCGATTAATCGTTAATCTTTTTGATCGATTAAAATTTTTTTGATCGATTAAATTTTTATTTGAAACTTTCAGCACAGCAATGAAGTAAAAACATGAAATAGGATCACACTAATCCAGCACGTTATTATTCTGAGTTGCCCCACTCAAGAGGCGGCCATATTGAGTGGGGCACGTGAGATAAATAACGTGCTGGATTAGTGTGATTCTAGTTCATTTTATTACTTCATTGCTGTGCTGTATGTGTATAGGCCAATGTAGTTGGATCTGTATGTGTGTTATAATCAAAATGAATCGATTAAAAAAAATTTAGGTGTAGGTGGTGATATAGGGATGATTGACATCCCTAGTCGCTCCATGCCTGAAGCACGTGGCAAATCAAGCTGAGCAGCCTGGGAAGTCGCAGTCTAAAGTTGGCCATACACCTATAGATTATCTGCAGATTTTCTCATAGACAGATGGAGGAATCGTTTGCACTTTTTCCATCTACGCTAAACTGTGTGGATGGAAGAATCTCCCGCTGGGCCAAGCTTCAGTATCTTGCTAGTCGGCCCCGCTGGCTCTCAAAATACCTGAACAATCTGATTGGATGCCGGCATTGCTCAGGTGTTTTGAGAGCCAGTGAGGCTGACTAGAAGGTACTGAGGCATGGCCCAGTGGGAGATTCCTCCATGCACACAGCTTAGCGTAGATGGAGGAATCTGTTGCACTTTTTCCATCTGACCATAGACAATCTGCAGAAAATCTATAGGTGTATGGCCAGCTTGACTACAGAACTACAGCCATTCATGGTAATGCCACGGTGTCCTGTATGCCCCATTAAAAGACACGAGGACGCAAACTGACCACGCTAGCACGGATCTGCTTCTGTGCTTATTGTGGTCAGAAAGGAAGAGGATGTCCATTAGTCACACTGAGACTGGAAGGAGCACCAGGTATATAGTATGGCTTCAGCTTTTATTGAACAAATACAAGCTACCAGTAGTTTAGGTTTTCAGATTAGGGGTTTACAATCTGACTGCACAAGCGCTTTTAGATATACCAACTGCGTGGTGACTGTAAAGTTTACATCAGGGGTAGGCAAAATCTGACCTTCTGCTGTGGTGATACGACAAATCCCATAATGCATCTGCCTCTGGAAGTCATGCCTGTGGCTGTCAGAGTCTTGCAATGCCCAATGGGATTTATAGTTGCACCATAGCTAGAGGGCCGGAGTTTGCTTACCCCTGATCTACGTAATTTTTGGTAAATATAAGGTGACTGTACAGAGATTGTACATTCAGACTGTAATGTACATGGTGCGTTTTACGCTCACTTTACATGTTATAGTCTGACTTTAGATTTACCAAAACTTTGTCATATGAGATCTTACCTAAACTATCCAATCAGTTTGTAGCCAGTCAGACAGACGTTTGCACTTCACCGGTTGGTGGAGCTAAAGGATTGTGTATGGTGAGCTTGACATATACTGTGCCAGCATCTATGCAGTGCAGGGGCCTGCAAGATTGGATACAGATTGAGCTATAGACCTCCTATTACCTAGCTGCTGGTTAATGATAAACGATAAAGTAAATTTCAATGGCAATACGTGCAACCTGCCTAAACAGACCATTCAATTTATATCCAATCTGAGAATCCTTTGTACTACATACTTCTTGGTAGGTCTATAAGAGATTGTACAACAACAAGACTGTACAGTGTGTGTGGTCAGGCAGTAAATATATGCGTCGCTTACCCCGATGCTGAACAGAGAGCTGACGGGTTTGTGGTCGCTGGTTTTCAGCTCCATGTGGCTGCGGTATTTCAGCTGTTTAATATTACTTCCTCTCCACAGAACGCGGTCACACCAGGCCGGCACACGGCACTTGCCACTGGAGATCACCAAAGAAAGGAGTGTTACCAGTATAAGCCAATGGTGGTAGTTTAGTCTGCGAGGGATTTATTGGATTTTTTATATAGTCTGAATTCCATTCCATTTTTTTTATGAAGTACAAATCCAAAACACAAGCTTTACTCCTTGTTTGAAGGGACCCAAACTGTGCATACCATAAAGAACAATGCCCACAAGTCAACAGAAGTGATTACAACCCTAAGTGCACATACCATTACATATACATGAAGGTACAGGCTATATAAATAAAGTGGACTTGACCTTAACGCGACACTCATCTCAGGAGTTAAATCTTAAAAATGCATTCAAGTACCTTAAAGGAGAACTATGGAGTAAACTTTTTATCCCATAGTTCTCCTTAGGGTCACAGGAGGACATATACTAACCTCCTCCTGTGACCCAAAGCTCGGTATATAACGAGCTATATACGTAGAGCGCCACAGCCGGAAACGGATCCCGACAATACTGTCGGCATCCACCCAGCTGGTTGATAGGCAGAGCTAGCTGTTCCCGCCCCCTTCCCCGTCCATTCCTCCATTCAGGACTGGAGGATAGGAGAGGGGGGTCCCTGTGGGGAGCGGTGACTGATCCTGCAGGGAGATGATCGGGAAGTGAGCGAGCGACGGTATGTGTTCACTTACTTCCCGATCTACAGGGCCGACGTGTGACAGTTTCAATGTCACACGTCAGCTCTAACTATGAGGATGAGTGGAAATCACTCACCTCATAGTTAAAGGAAAACTATTAACAACAATGTCTCTTATTTGTGTATCACTCGGCTGTAGATCCTCCAATCATCTCTGAATTGGTGCTGACACTGTCCTTCCTTCTGGAGAGGGGCTACTTTTGTTCCCCATGGTCCCTGTGTGTGTTGTATACCCTGTTTCCCCGAAAATAAGACCTAGTACTATTTTTGGGAATTGCTAAAATATAAGACCTACCCTGAAAATAAGACCTTGTTGTGACCATTCCCAGGGCCGGTGGTGGCATAAGGGGGGAACTTGAAGAGCCGTGGGAGAGAATCGGCGGTGCCAATGAAGCCAGCGCTAGAGGAAGCGAGGCGGCAGCACAGGGAGCAGAGCTGATGTTTCCTCTATAGCGCCGACTCCTGTCACAGGCGCAGTGATACCAAATGCACTCCGCCTGTGAGGAATCGATAGAGAAAGCGCGCTTCGCTCATTCTGGCCAGCGATTGGTTGGAAAATTGCTCTTGGAAAGGTACGACACCCTTGATCACAATATTTTTGTACATGAATACATGTAGACTGTTGTACAGGAATAACTGTTGATTGTTGTACATTAAAATAAAATAAAAAATAAGCCCTACCCCGAAAATAAGACCTAGAGTGTTTTTTTGAGCCGAAAAAATATAAGACAGTGTCTTATTTTCGGGGAAACACGGTAGTAGTCACTGCTACAAGCTCGCTCCCGGGATGGACTACAATCTCATGCTTAGTTTACTCATTTGTATTGAGATTGTAGTCCATCATGGGACTGCAATCAAACGGGGTTCCTCTATACATGCTAAACAGGGTTGATGGAGGAAGCTCCCGCTGCGCTATTCTATTTTGAGAGTAGGCCCTGCCAGCTGTCAAAATACCTGAACACTGACCGGATTGCTTTCACTGTTCAGCTGACAATTTTCCAATAGAAGGGTGTCAGGTGGGAGCTGGCAGATAGGGACACCAACTAAGCAAATTTCAGCAGGTTCACTTCAGGATTTTGAAAAGTTTACCCTTCCAGTGGGGCTACCCACTGCAAGGGTAAAGGTTAACTGCTCGTTAAAGGAGAACTATGGGGTTAAGGCTTTTCCCCATAGTTCTCCGTAGGGTAACGGGAGGACACAAACTAGCGTCCTCCCGTCACCCTAGGCTCAGTATACCGCGAGCTACAGCTCACGATATACTGAGACGCCGCAGCTGAAGCGGATCCCGACAATTGTACCGGGATCCGACCAGCTGCGTGACTGACAGCTGGCTCTGCCTATATAGAGGCAGAGCCAGCTGTACCCGCCCCCTCCCCCGTCCGTTCCGCCAGTCAGCGCTGGAGGATCGGAGCGGGGAGGGGGGGAATCCAGTAGGGCTGCAACAACTAATCGACATAATCGATTATTGAAAAAGTTGTCAACTTTTTCAATAATCGATTAATCGGCTTCCGATCAGTTGGTCCCATTCACGACTCCACACACGCTGCGCGCCGCACCTCCTCCCCACCTCACTCGCCGCTGCCAGACCCGCCAGCATCCACGCTCTTCACGCCGCACCTCCTCCCCGTCTCACACTCACCGCCCACCCACATCCACGATCGGCAAAGGGACGCGGGGAGATGTAGTAAGGAGGAGCAGGTGTGGGGGGATGACAGCCGCCAATAGACAGGTCCGATCTCAGAAGCAAGTTGCTGGAAGACTGCTCAGGTAAGCCTGCACTCCCCCCCACATGGTGCTCTATAATGTATTGCTGGGATAGTGGGATTTGTATTCCTCGATAGCTGATGGTACATTGTGCTGTATATTATACATGGGAATACACATCCCAGCAATACATTGTACACTGTATGTATAATGTATTGCTGGCATTTGTTGTATTCCTAAATAGCTGGTGATATTCTGCACTGCGCTGTATAGAGGACTACAAATCCCAGCAATAATGCATTACACAGCGCAATGCGGA